TTTCGTATGATAAAGCCTATTTGGTCATGCATTGTTCATATGCGAAAACGAATGATGGTCAAGAAGGGATCCATTGACTCGAAAATATAGGATCAGGAGTACCGTTGACTCCATCTGAATTTGAGTTCTTGGACGGACGTCGATAATGTCGAAAATTGGAATCTCTGGCTAGAGTCTTTATTAGTCATATGAAAGCAAGTTCGTGATGACGAGTTCCGGACATATTGATCAACGATTCAGGAGAAGATCGAGTTTATGATTTTGACGTTCCATGAATCCGTACTTAGTCAGGATATATCAATGGACAGACTTTACCTGCATGGTACATATGATCTAAAATGAGTTCAATGAAGTATTTCTTCATTGTGGTTTAGGGACTATGGCACATTACTAGATGTTTACCATAGTCGTTGGGCCTCCGGACAGGTTTATGGATTCATTCAGAACTAGCTCACGGCTAATCCACGGTGGACCTACATGGTCACACCAATAGCCTTGAGAAGTTAGAGAAGAATAAGAGAGAGAAATGATTATCCGAAGAGGGCTAGCACCTTCTGAGGGTAATGACGGGATTTCTATGGTAATAGTTACATAGAAAATTATTTATGACATGTTAAGGGTTAAAATGGTCAAGCAATAATTAATTGTATTTAATTATTGTATCTTAAAGCGTTAAGATAAATGAGATGAACTAAAATAACCTTTTAATAGTTAAAGGGCAAAAAGGTAAACTGTGGGTTGTTAATGTAAACTACTTTAGTTTACATGGGCCCTTAAATAATATTGATTATTCTATTAGTGTATATTAGTGTATGCCCTAGAAACCATTCGTGTTGTCGGTTTCAGAGCATTTTGTCTTGTATTTATATATAATAAATAATAGATGAAAGAGTTCTTCAATTCATATATATAAATTACTTCCTTTATTTAGTTATGCATTTAAAATAAAGTACGTATATGAATTGTCCAAATGATTTATTTAATCGATAAATGAATTATCGAAAAGGGTTCCCTACAGAAACAATATAATTTGGGCAACTATATTGCATAGTAGGCATGTTGGATGCTTCCGAAAGATATCATGAGTTGATATAAGTACGGATAACGATGATAGTCATGTCACTGGGGCATTGGTATGGATTAGCGGTTGGTGAACTATTTTTCGAACGTGATCGAATAACGACAAATTACTTGGAAAAACGTGTAGTCAATGATTTATCGTTTGGTTATATCAGTGCACGATGTAGTTCTTTGACCTGAGACATTGTGGTCGGATCCGATATGGATGCGTATGGTTCATACGATATATAAGTACGAGACTAGTCATGTTTTGTATGATAAAACCTATTTGGTCATGCATTGTTCATATGCGGAAACGAACGATGGTCAAGAAGGGATCCATTAACTTGGAAATATAGGATTAGGAGTACCGCTGACTCCATCTGGATTCGAGTTCCTAGTCGAACGTCGATAAATGTTGAAAATCAGAATCTCTGGCCAGAGTCTATTATTAGTCATACAAAAGCAAGTTTATGATGACGAGTTCTGGACATATTGATCGACGATTCGATAGAAGATCTAGTTTATGATTTTGATGTTCCATGAATCCGTGCTCGATCAGGATATATCAATGGAGGGACTTTACTTGCATGGTACATATGATCTGAAATGGGTTCGATGAAGTATTTTTTCATTGTGGCTTAAGGACTATGACACATTGCTAGATGTTTACCATAGTTGTTGGGCCTCCGGACAGGTTTCCAGATTCATTTAGAACCGGCTCATGACTAATCCACGGTGGACGTACATGGTCACACCAATAGCCTTGAGAAATTAGAGAATGATGAGAGAGAGAAATGATTATCCGAAGAGGGCTAGCACCTTCCGAGGGTAATTATTTGATTTCTATGGTAATAGTTACATAGAAAATTGTTTGTGACATTTTAAGGGTTAAAATGGTCAAGCAATAATTAATTATATTTAATTATTATATCTTAAAGCGTTAAGATTAATGAGATGAATGAAAATAACCTTTTAATAGTTAAAGGGTAAAACGGTAAATTTATGGGTTGTTAATGTAAACTAGTTTAGTTTACATGGTAAATTCATGGGCTCCTTTTGAAATAAGATTTTATTGGAGCATGAAAATGAAAAAGAACTAATTGCAAAAATTGCCCAAGTATATATAAATGCAAATGGTTGCATTTTAGTTCATTATTCACTTTGTTCACTCAAAGCAAACTAAAATCTCTCTCTCTAAGCCACGACCATTCTCTAACTCACTCAAGGTGGTGTTAAAGTGTGGAGGTCTCATTATTTTGAGTTTTATCATCATCAACCCAAAGCAAAGGAGTAGGTATAATGCTTTTTCCAAGCTTTGTTTGAAAACGTTTTTTTTTTTTAATCCAATCTTTCATGCTTTCTATCTTCATTTCCGCCACTCTTCATGCATGTTGATCTATTATATTCAAAGGATAAAATAATAAATACTTTGGCTTCTTTTAAAATAAGATTTTATTGGGGCATAGAAGTGAAAAACAACTAATTACAAAATGGCCCATGTATATATAAATGCAAATGGTTGCATTTTAGGTTAAGGATTCATTTTGTTCACTCAAAAGAAAATCAATTTCTCTCTCTTAGGGTTCAGCCACTCTCTCACTCTCTCAAGGTGGTGTTAAAGTGTGGAGGATTCATCCCTTTGAATCTTGGCTTCATCAACCTTAAGCAAAGGAGAAGGTATAATGTTTTCAAGCTTTGTTTGATTTTTTTTTTTTAATCCCATTAATCCAACCCTTTCATGCTTTCAATCTACATTTTCCGCCACCTCTTCATGTTATTCTTTCACTCACAACACCGCACTCTTCACCTGGCTTATCGTCGTCGTCATCATCAAAGCTAACAAAACAATCATCTGGGTGCTTCTCGACACTAGTAAAGAACCAGGATATGGGGTTTTTGGAGAAAACAACCAAGTCAGTTTTGTGGGGTTGTTGTTTAAGAGAGAAAATAGAGGCTTTCTGAAGGGTTTTGGAGAATAGAAAAAGAGGGGCTTTCTGGGTTTGTTTAGGGTTAAAAGACAGAGATGAAGAGAGGTGGTAGATAGTGATAACGGCGCCGATGGTGGTAGAGGCAGTGGTTGTGGCAGACATGGAGGTGAAGAATATTTTCAGAGAACAAAAAAACTTAAAATGTTCGGGGTTTCAGTTTTGGGCAGTGTTCTGAAAACTGAACCGAACTATGACCCGTTCAAGGGTCTGGTTTTTGGTTTGACCGGTTGGATTGGTCGGCTGGACCGTATCCTATAAAATTACTGTTAGTCCCTAAATGTTTGAAATTCATCAAAAACACCTATAATAATACTCCTTTAAGGTTTGAAATCTATCCAAAACACCTCTATCGCGCAAAGAGACCGATGAGTGGTGGCGACAACGACGATCGACAGTCAATCGAAGTTTGGAATCATGGGGCTTTTGATGTATAGGTGCCGACGAATCTTATGGTGGTGTTAGGGAGTTCTACCGACGCCGAAATTTTTCAGAATCAAGAAGGAAGTCTGACGATGTGAACTATAGGTGGACAGTGAGCGACGAAAGGCTGGACGACGACCACTGAAAATGGATGGGTTTTGTCATGGAGACGTCGTCAAGTCTAATGGTGGTGTTTTCTCCCTTGAATGATGCCAGAATCTGACGGGATTGAGTTGCGATTGGACCGCGATTCAGTACTATTCTAACTATCCAATCGCGGCTCAATCCGGTTTGTTTAAAAATACCGATTTTCAGAGGACATCGGACCAAAGATGCCACTGGCTCCCGGTCGAATCGGTCTGACCGAACGATCCAGTTTTCAGAACACTGGTTTGGGGAAATAAGAATTGATTTAAGGTTTTGCAAAATTTTGAATTTTAGAGTTTTTTATTTTTTTTTTTATTTTAGGGGAAAGTGATGTGGTATATAGATGATGTTGCTATTGAGATGGAACGTGCCATGTCACTTTATAAGGGTTTTTGTAATTGTAGCATTATCCATAAATTAAAGAGAAAAGTTAGAGATGTAGAGATAGGGTTGTATACGAGCCGAGCTGAGCTGAACACTATAGGACTCGAAACTTGGCTCGAGAAAATTTAGCAAACTCGAGCTCGAGCTTGGATTCGACGAGCTCTGGAAACCAGGCTTGAAGCTCGGCTCGTTTAACAGGCTTTAATCCAAAGCAACCCATCAACGGTCTTTAAAAAAAAAAATTCAAAGCCAACCCACCAGATTCTTCAAAACCTTAATGATAATGTAAAAGCAACAAAAACCGAGCAAACATAAGAACAAAATCTCACAGCCTCATTTTTGGAGAAGAAAAAGCGGCTTGGAGAAAGGAGATCAAGACAAGATTTGTAATGCATAAATTTGAGATAGAAGAGCTAAAGGAATGAAGAAGGAAAGAGAAAGGAAAGGGGAAGAAGAAGGAAAGAGAAAGAGAAAAGAAAGGAGAAGAAGTGCAGCTTGTGATGAAAAATGTGTTAGGGTTTTTGGAATAAACAATTTATATATAAAATAATAAATTTTATAAACACCCTTATACTTGAAAAACTTACACCTTATATTTAAAAAACTTACACTCATACCCCTTCGAGCCATGGAGGTTCACGAGCCTATCGAGCCAAGCATTGGGTGGCTTGAGTGAGCTCAGCTTGAAAAGTCACTTGAGCAACTCGAGCTAGAGCTCGACTCGAGCTGAGTCAAGCTCAAGCTTTTCTCGAGCCTAGCCAAGCCGTTCGTGGTACACCCCTATGTGGAGAATAAAAAGGGAAAAATAATTTGAATAATGATACCTTTACATCATACTCCTACTATCCTACACCATTCTCTTACATTATCACGTGACAGTTAGATGTGACGATGCCACCTCAGATGCTAGTCAGCGAGTTGCCACATCACCGCCCCAAATCTTTGAAAAAAAAAAAAAAAAAAAAAGAAAAAAGTTACTAACCCTAAATTTCGATTTTCCTAAAACAAAACCTGAAATAAATTTCAATTACCATGAAAAACAAACCCAGAACAAGTTTTTCCCAAATTTCCTTTCAATCTTGAAAACCCTAGCCACCACATTCTCCGATTGCACCCCCACCAGGTCGTCGCCGTCCACCATCCCAAACAGGTTTCACTTCCAACATTCCTCTTTCACCACCATTGCCAATCTTAATCGTTGTCCACCGACAGGTCGCAGACCGTCCACCACACCACCACCATGACGAGTGTCAGCCGAGTTGCACAAGGTCGCCGAACGTCCACCCCGCACCAGGTTACTGTTCATATGGATCTTTTATTGTATTTTTTTTTTTTTAATTTTTAGATTGCGTATATTGTTTAAGTTGATACACTTTGGGACGGATGATCTATTCTTTATACTGGCTTATAAGTGTTTCTGTTTCTGGTTGGTAGATTGGAATTAATTTTAGCCATTTGGATGCCTTTCAGTGTTCTTTTTTTCGTTTTTTTTAATTGAAAAGTATATAATGGCCTTGATAGTTAACAACTTCAACGATCATGCATTAGTTTTTGAGCAGCTTCACTCAGAGCGGCTATTTCTTCTTCTTCATCAAAACATATCTCTGACTCAACCTCTCCTTTTCAAAGTATATAATGGCCTTGATAGTTAACAACTTCAATGATCATGCATTAGTTTTTGGGCAGCTTTTTCTTCTTCTTCATCAAAACATGTCTCTGACTCAACCTCTCCTCTTCAATCATCTCTTCTTCCTCGGCTTTTCTGGCTCCAACTAAAATCAATTCCAGGTACTTCTGTCTATTACTACACTGAGAAATTGGAACAACAATGAAATGAAATGAGTGACCCATTTGTTTGTTTGAATACAACTTTCCTACAAATTTTTCATTTGGGTTCCATTTTTCTCTCCACTTTACTCACTTATTTCATATGTTGTTTTTTCTCTAAATAAAATCAGTTTAATTGATGGGTTTTTCTTTTTTGTAATGTCATATTGCAGAGCGCAGAACATTTCGCTTCAAGCTAAACACATTGATGTTTGCAAATAATGAAATATGTCGTTCAGTTTATATGAGAAGCATTTTGAATACGTAGTTTAGTTTAGAGGTCTAATTAGCTTTTTTCTAGGAGTGCCAGTGGTTCGTAACTTGGGTGTTGAAGAGACTCTTTCAATGGTACTAATTGGTGGCGTACTTGGGAACAAGAATGTTGATTTACTTATCGGGTATGGTTATTGGTTAGATTTGAATTATTGGCATCAGATTTGATAAATGTCAATGTGAGTAATTGTTTCAAGACCAACCCTGGTGAAAGTTTCTTGAACTGGTCCCAGTAGAATTGAACAAATTCATCTCATAGATGCATGCACCTACCTATTCAACATAAGTCCAAGATTTATATTTCATCAAAGCATGTGCATAATATGCCCGTGAAACAAATATTTAAAGAATAAAATTTAAATTTTCTTATAACATGTTGATTGGTTTTCCAGAATAAGGGTACTTCATTTATTCATTATTTTCTATTGTTACTTGGAAAAATCAATTATATGACCACTATTACTGCATAATGTTGTTATAAATTTGTTGAGCAAATTTAAGAAATGTAATCCTTGAAATGTGATATCATTGAACTAAGTTAAACAGATGTTTTTCTTTGCAAGCACTTATTCATGTCTGCTTCTATGTTAATTCAGTTGAATTGTTCTTAATATATTCCTGGTTTTGGTGAAGCTTACAAGACAAAAGTGTTGCGCAATTGAAATATAGTCAAACTTCAAGCTGGTTACCTTTTTCCAGAGGTCTGTAATGATGTATCAGATAAGATTTACAGTTTATGGTAATTTTCATTTGTTTTTTCCCTCAAATGTTTATAAATTTAGTGTTAATTCAAATGTTTATGAGTGTAGCTGTTTAATTTTTTTAGTTCTTGGTTGATGCTCAAAATCAAATTCCTAAAAATTGAGATGCAAAATCAAGTTCCGACAGTGCAAATTTTTTATCAAAATATGGTGCCGGCCCAGTGCAGGTAATGTAGTTCTACTATACTTTTGAAATTTTGTTTGTTAACTAGTTCATCTGATGTCAATGAATAATTCCAAGTGACGTTGTAAATCTTCAGCAGGAGAAACCATTGGAAGAGGACGGCCAGGATTCGATAACATATGCCACGAAAATAAACTGACATATTCATCAAAGGTGAGTACTGATACTGTATCAAAACAGCCAGTTCATCACTTTATATTCTTGCTGTTGTAATGTATGTTGTGTGCAAGTTTTTATAATGCAATTGAGCCATTTGTAACGTATGCAATTGAACAAATTAATGTTGAATGACAATGCTACTGCTGTAGTTCATCGAATGTATCTTTCATTTTAAGTTTCATGACAAAAAATTGAGCCATTTGTAATTGTCCAGCAAGTAATTGAAGTCATATTATGGTGGAAATAAGCAATTGGTATTTTTTTTTTTTTTTTGTTATAAATCTAAATTGTTTCTGCATCACTTGATCATAGTTTCCAAAGTACATTGACAGAGCATGATATGTTATGAAATGCTGTACAAACAACGGTAGAGGATCTTTACCTGCTGTATGCTTTCTTCAATTCGGCATATATCGAACTTGTCATAATGATAGGATCTTTGCATCACTGATATTCTAATTTTTTGGTTGTGTAAGGTGATGGACTTTTTTTTTGAAGTGTGGTGTTGTCTTTCTATTCTGAGTATTATAGATATATTTCCCAGTGTGTATTCTGATTGCTTAATGCTTATAGCAGAGCGGCTACATTTTGGCTTGTGTATCCATGCAAAGATGGACAGATAGATTAGTCTCGTGTTTTCAAAGCCATCTTCATCTAAAAATAATTCTTTTCTGGGTTTAAATTATAGTATCGGGAATCCTAATGTGGTTACAAACAACTTCAGAGTTTAGACCATTGCTTATTTCCACCATAATATGACCTCAATTACCTACTATTGAAAAAGAAGCCTTATTGAAAAGGGCGACAAAAAGAAGCCTTATTGCTTCCTGGTAACAAGAAATTATAAACCAAAAGAAGTTATGCAAATTTCCTGCACAGGGTCATCTGTTTTCCCACAAATGTGTTAAGATATGATATATGCCCATTCATAATTTGCAGAAAAAAAAAAAGAAGACTAATTAAAGTCTTTAACATTTACTCGACCAAAAAGTGCGTAGAAATGAAAAGGATCTTTTACATTTGGTCCACCAAAAAATGCATAGAAATGAAAAAGGACTTACATTTACTCAGAAAGTCTTTTATATTTATTCCACCAAACACAACACTGCAGCAACAAAAATCTGTGGAAAATGCGCTAGAACCACACCAGCAAACTTCCACCATCAGTACCACCCAAAAACCAACATCAGTACCATCCAAATCAACAGTGCAAATACTAGCACAAAAAAAATGCAGAATGTAATGAGCAGACAAATCCAACCAGTAACCACAGATTAAATAAACTGGAATGTGAATACAACTAGTTATACTTCCAATTAACCAGATATTGCAGGCCAAAAAAAAAAAAAATTAGTCAGGGTTGCAAAAAAAAATTAGTCAAGGTTGTTGCCAAGCTGGACATCAAATCTAATCAGCTATGTATAACTTATCTCAATCCCATCAATTTCTCGCTGAAGGTCTTCAAAGACAAAGCAACATGTTGCCATCCATTCCAAACAAACTCCAAACAAATCAATAAGCTTGTTAATCCTGTATACCATCACCAATCCAGTTCAAATACAATCTGCAGTTCTTCCTGTGATCCTGTCCTCCCCCGCCAGAAAAACAAACATTCAACTCCTGTTGTTCCTGATTTCACAATGTAATTATGAATTCAGTAAAAGTTCATAACAATTCAAATTTGTCCTTTATCTACAACATATTTTACTGGGAAAGTACAAGCAGGCAACCCACCTGATAAAGTTAAAAAATTATACAGCCCATCATCGTGTTACCATGCATCAGAAACAAGAACAGATTGGCATAGGTTTTTATCAAACAACGAGATGCTCTACTAGATAAATAAAACAACTGAACATATGGATTTTTTCCATGACATCTTTGGACACTTCTTTCATTTCTTATTCAATTGGTGAGAAAGGCATTAATGAGTGTTTACCTTTTAATGTATGACAGCAATAGACTCTATATGACATTATTGTATGACAGCAATAAGTTCTATATGACATTATCTCCTAGATGGCCATAAAAAGTTAAAAATTTTGTCCCTTGAGTGAGAAGCATATAGTGACTTTTGACATGAAGAAACAGCTTCTATGTGTCAAAAACAATATCCCCAGCCGCTGCGCATTCAGCACATTAATTAACTAGAGCAAGCACCTGACTGGAACTTGAGTTTTGTTTAAGGGGCAGGCAAATAATTAATAATATGCCAGTTTTTTATTGGCACATATTCACCAGAAGCCTACGTACAATATCCTTATTGACTTGAAACAAACTACAAAATATCCTAATTATATCTCTATTTACCACAGTTGAGAAAGTTTACGAGGAAAAGATATTATACTAACCCTGGGTATTAGCGCAGGTCACAGCAACAGGTAGGCTTATTGACACAGTGAAGAGACCAAGAACAATCTGGTTCATAGTGTGCTTCTTGTGATACACATGTAACGGCCACAACACTGCATGGATTTTAGATCTAATCAAGACTCAAATAATGAGAAAAATTTATTCCAACTATGTACACAGTTTCAATTTTACCCAGATGAGATGAGATTCCATTAAGGTACCATAAACTCAAAGGATTATCACCAAATAATGCATATACTCTGAATACTCCGGTCTTTAATATGTTAATGGATGGATGTTCTTTATACTCTTATTTTGTGGTCGGTAGACATTAACAGCAGGTTGTCTGTTAATGGATGTTCTGCTGCTATTTAAACAAGGAACCTTGGGTTCTCCCCATTCCATGGCTTTCTTCTCAAGATATTCAAAATCAGCCTTACCAGCCTGTTATAAGATGGCACCACTTTGTATTAGCCAAAGAAGCAATTGAAACAAAGCAAAACAGGTAAGATATTGGGAAACATGTTGCCTCAATTTTAGCCCCAACTTCGGCGTCAAAGTTCTGATATCGCTTGCGGACAAGCTCGGCCAAAGAACCATCCTTTTCAATGACAAAAAAATCTATTCAATATCATTGATAGGCCATTGATTAAAAAATAAGCATTCCATTTTAGAAAATCAGACGGTCGGCGACCTGGTGCGGCTCGGCACGCACTCGTCGAACTCAGCTGACAAGGAACAGCTACGTTTGTCGGTGGACGGCGGCTGAGATTGGCGATGGTGGTAAAAGAGGAATATTTGAAGTGAAACCCGTTTGGGATAGTGGACGGCGGCGACCTGGTCCAGGTGTGATCGGAGAATGTGGTGGCTATGGTATTCAAAATTGAAAGGAAATTTAGGGAGAAACTGTGCTAAGGTTTGTTTTTGACGGCAATCGAAATTGATTTAGGGTTTTGTTTTAGGAAAAGTTGCATTCGAACTGTAGGGTTAGCAAGTTTTTTTTATTTTTTTTAAACATTTTTTTTTAGGGGCGGAAGGGTTAGTAATATGACCTGGTAATTCACTGATGTGGTATCGGAGATGGCATTGCCCATAAACTGCCACATCATAGTGTAAGAGAATGGTNTATTCATCCATCTCCGAATTTTGTTATTTCTAAATCCTAATACAGTACGATTCATGTAAATAACATTGAGATTATCTCTAATGAAGAAACACCATTCTTTTTCTGTAGTTGATGAATTGAAACTCCGATCCTCTTAACCCATAAAAAGTTATCCAATTCATCATTACCCATTATTTTAAAAATAAAAAACATTTTCATTAATTTTAAAAAATATAAAGAACATAATTTTTATTTAAATCCAATAAACTCTTGAAATTTAATAAAGATGTTTTTTATTTTTAAGAAAGAGACTTAATGGAAGAGAGAATTAATAAATAAAATGCATAGGAACTTATAGTTTATTAATTAAAATTATGATAGAGTGTGAAATTTGACTTTCTAAATGTGGAGAATCAAAACCATTCTCTAATTTATATTTTAAAGATAAAGATGTTATTGGACTCTTGTTTTTATGGATAAACTCTAAATAAAGAGTTTAGATCATATAAAGAGTCATTTGGAGATGCTCTAACACGATTTTTTACGTTAACTATGAATCTTTACATGAAATTTCCTAATTGGTATGATTTTTCACGTCAATTGAAAAAACCATGTCAAGTGTTGAATCACTATAAAACTTCAAATTCAAGACATACATAACAAATACACTTCTATTAACATCAAACACAATAACACTCACACTACTAACAACTCGAAAACCAATAACTTCAACCAATAAACAAGACAAAACAAAAATCAACCCGAACTCTTAACTTTCTTACAAAAACCCTAAACCCTAACATTTATCACAAACCATACCTTTTTAACACTAAAATTTGTATAAAGAAGTAAAAAAAAAAAAAAAAAAAAAAAAAAAACTAACATTTGCCCATCTCACAATTTTCAATTCACTCCAATGACGGGAATAGGTTATCATTGATCACCTTTCTTCTCCACACCACAATGAGTGCTGAAAATCTTCATAGTAACAATTAAATGGTTAAATCTCCACTTGTTTTGTGGATTAAATTACAAAACGGATGAGTTTTTAAAAATCGAAGTTGGCTCCAAAGCCCTTTTTGTTTTNTATTCATCCATCTCCGAATTTTGTTATTTCTAAATCCTAATACAGTACGATTCATGTAAATAACATTGAGATTATCTCTAATGAAGAAACACCATTCTGTTTTGTTTTTGTGAATTAATGGCGCAAAGTGTGTTATATTGTAAAAAAGAGAGAGAATTTTATGTTACAGTTTGAATCGTTACGAAAGACATATGATTGTTTATTGAAATTGTTTTATATTTAAGACGTTTTATTGCCATTTTTCCGAATGTGCTTTTCATGCTATTATAATGAAGATGTGATGTTGTAGCTAGTTATATTTTTCGTTATTCCATGAAATGTTACATTTATTAGTCATATTGCCAATTGAAAACAGGCAAAAAATGCTTTGTTTTCACCTGGTATAGTTTTTTACGCCCCAAAAATGCATTATTGTTTTCACTTGGCGTGGTTTTCTACGTGATTAGTGTAAAAATATTTATCCTCTAGCGTAAATTTTATGCACCTAACTTGATTTTTTACGTTAACTTGGAATCTTTATATGAAATTTCCTAATTGGTGTGATTTTTCACGCCAATTGAAAAAACCATGAGTGTTGAAGAATTGCTATAAAACTTCAAATTCAACACATACATAACAGATACACTTCTATTAACATCAAACACAATAACACTCACACTACGAACAACCCAAAAACCAATAACTTCAACAAAAATCAACCTAAACCCTAACTTTTTTTACAAAAACCCTAAAACCTAACATTTATCACAAACCAGACCTTTTTGACACTAAAATTTGTATAAAGAAGTATTGAAAATCTGAAAAACTAACATTTACCCATCTCACAATTTTTTATTCACTCCAATGACGGGAATAGGTTGTCGTTGATCACGTTTCTTCTCCACACCACAATGAGTGCTGAAAATCTTCAAAGTAACGATTAAATGGTTAAATCTCCACTTGTTTTGTGGATTAAATTACAAAACGGATGAGTTTTTAAAAATCGAAGTTGGCTCCAAAGCCCTTTTTGTTTTTTGAAATGGTGGTAAATGGAGGAAAATTGGGTTTATATATGAGGGTATTTTGGTAAAATGCATTTGGTGGTTATATGGGTATAGACTTTAGGATTTTAGTCAATTTTTATAAGCCCCCCATGTCATTTAAAAAAAAAAAAAAAACCTTTTTTGAATATAATATAATTACATAATAGTTGTTTTTCTAACTAAAAATTTATTTATAAATATGATAAGCCTATTTATATAAATTTAACAAAAATTAAAAGAAAAAAACTTTCCTCCAATTGTAGGATCATTGCGTACATCCATATGTTCTACCTACACGAGATTAGAACATATGGATCTACACAATCATCAAACTCTCATTAGAAAAAGATGTTTATATTGGCCATAGGAGACGGTCAAACCACCCCCATGGAAATGATGTGTTGCTATATCCATCCACAAAACTAAAGTTCATGACACTTACACCCTTAGAAGTGGCGAAAATGAAACTTACTTTGCACCAACTAAGTTTGGAAATATAACTTACACTGTTACCCTCTATTTTTCCGATTAATGGGATGAAGTAAAGGGCAAAATATACATTTCAAGTTAAATTTATTGTTGATTAAATTGATAAGTAAGTAGACATTTCAAGCTTAAAAAAAAAAAAAATTGAAGGATTGGTGAGATATTAACCACTAAAGCCAAAGGCATTTAGTATAAGTATATTACATAACAGAAATTTAATCATTATGAAAAAAATGGGGTTATTATTTACAATTTCGCAAAGAGGTAGTGAAATATAAATACTCCCTTGGACATCTCACAAATTTTAAAAAGTAAAATAATAACCTCTTGGATTATTATTTACTCCTCTTAAAACTATCAAAAACTTTCCTATCAAGGGGGTACTTAATACGTTATAATAATCATGGGTGTGTCAAGAATATTACTATCTCTCTAGGGGTGTATAATAATCGTAAAAAAATATATTAAATTTAAGGATAAGTAATATAAAGCCCCACATGTTTGGCCATTTAGTAGATGTCACTTGCCACCACCCACAGTCTCCATTCCATTAATTTCATCAGTTAACTTTAATGGGTGACAAGGTATTTTTGATATTATTACACTTTAAGAATGGTATTTGTGACTTTTTAAACAAAATGTCCTTTATTATTTATTTTTTCTCTTTTTTGACCCTCGCCCTTTCCTCCACCCCTTTCTCTTTCTCCTTCTCTATCATCCTCCCCTTTTCTTCTCTTCCTCCCACTTCCAGTAACACAAAAAGAAGCTACAACCAATTGCGACAACGACGGCTAGATCTGGACAACCAAATAATGTCATTGCAATTTGGTTGGATCCTTCAATATTTTTTTGATTGGTTTTCTTATTATTTACTTATTTTAATTTCAAGTTTAATCAATGTTGTTTCATTATCATATATATTTGATGATTGACTTTGTATTTGCTTTTGGACGAGGAATTAGGTGAAAAGATTGATGAATTTAGTATATATATTTGGGTTAAATTTGATGATAAACTTGGGTAAGTGGCCAAGTGGGAAAGTATAAGAAAGTTGATGAGTTCAATTTTGAATGAGAAAAATTTAATGAATTTTAGATAAAGTTTCGGTGAGAGAAAAGATTTTAAGAAAGGGAATTTTTTTTTTTTTGGTTTATATTGAAAGAAAATCGGTATAATTTTAAAAACTTATTAGAGTTTGGTGGGTCAGATTTTAAGTAAACATAAAAAGATCGATTAGTTTTTTTTTTTTTTTTTCTTGATAGAAGAAATGGAAATAATTTATTCTGATTAAGGGTAAAGATGTCATTTGATAACTTGACATATTTTCTTTAATGGGATAAGTATTTTAAACTCTCTGAGGTTTGGTTAATCCTTTAAACCCCCTATGGTACTAGTAATTACTCTAAACTCCTTGCTTCAGCCCCCTAAATTTTTTCAATTAGTTTTAACTAGGGGTGATAGAAAGTTCTAGGTACCTTGCATTTTTTGAAGGAACCAGCCGGTTCCTAAGATTTGCAACCAGAACCGGAACCTGAAACATAGGTTCCGGGTACCTAAGTTAATTTAATTACCCTATATTTAAAAAAATGATAATACACCCCAAATAGTTTTACAAATTATAATTCAGTCCCGATTCCCACCTTGGTACCTAGACTTGAACCGGACCTTAATGGGGTTGGTTTTAGTTTCAATTCTACCCTTTACCCATGCTCACTCCTAGTTTTAACGAAAGTAAAGGGTAAAAGAGTAAAATATACCTAAATTTTATGATTTTATAAAGGGTTGCATTTGCTCCCCCTAAAACTTGTAAAATTAATTATCTCCCAAAAACTCTTGAAACTACCACATAAACCCTAACAAATATGGGAATTAATTGAATTTAACCAAACACAATTACGAATTACTCTAATTATATTTTGAACTTGACTAATTTACCTAAAATTTATTAATAGCACATTTTTAAATAAAAGGTAAAATAACTATAAAAATTAGAAAAAAAAAAACATAAATAACACAAATCCTTACACTAATACTAAATAAAAATGGATTAAAAAATTACATTTAAATATTTTTGAAAAATGAAGCATAGATATTTTTAAAAATACTACAAAAACCTAGAAAAAAAAATCTAAAATCTACAAGATATTTGCCAAGTTGATTTTTTTCATATTTGTATTAATTTTATTTAACTTGTTACAAAATACATTTTCCAAATTTTTAATCATTTTTTTATATATTTCTTACTCTTTTCATTATTATAGATTTTTTTAAAAAAAATTTCCATTTTTCAAAAAAAAATTTAGTTTTTCATTTTTATTTTTTATTTTTTTAGTTTCTTTTCAATTTTCTTATTAAAATTTGTGATATTTTACATAATTTAATATTTTTTTAAGCCTAATATGGGTGTTGGGAGCTACCATATATGAAGTGAAAGTATAGGGAGTGGGTTGTGATTGATGGGCATAGCAGGTTATTTATCTTTTCTATGGTTGAAAGCAACTAAAAGGCATTATCAATACCAAAAGGAGGCTAAATAATTATTCCTTTATTTAACGGATCCTAAAAAAATGAGGGCTGACCTTTGCATCTTTTACTGTAGCAGGTGGTATCTATAAATCACCAAACTTTTGGGGGTTTATTAAGTCAGAATGTGATTTTGAAAGGTTGACGGGAGAAGATAAGAATGAGCAAGGTCTTTCTTTAAAAGACCCCTAAAATTGTCATGAATTTCAAATTCGTCCCAAAATGGTTTTTTTAGTCATTTTTGTCCTTTTTGAGTGAATAAAATATTATTAACGCACTATTTATTATTATCCAAAAATTCTAATATCATTACATGGCATGTAAAAGGTTAACTGAATGATACAGGATGACGACATAGATGACATGCCACCTCAATTAGCTGGGCTGAACCCAAGTTTGCTGTTAAACTCAAGCAACTGAGTACTGATTGATTGTTTTGTTGATCATCCCTCATAATTCCGTTCAAATGTCTATATCTTCATCTTCCTCTGCGTTTTTAGCCCCACCCCACATCAGTTCCAGGTATTTTCTAAGATTTATTCACCTATTTTTGCTGCTTCTTATTGGTTGATGTGATGAGAAAATTATGAAATCAAATGAAATGATCCATATTTTATTGTTCTGTTTATGCCCTTTTTCCCTCACAGTTCTCCAGTCAACCAAACAGCATCCATGCTATAATTTCTTTATGTTTTTTCGAACAGATATCATTTCTTTGTTCACCAAATAATCCGTACTGGGGATGCTGCACGAGGGACACTGACCCAATTGGTTAAGTTTGCTAAGGACAATGGGTCAATCATTGTTTATGACTCTGCATACCCTTTATATATCAATGATAACCCTCGTTCAATCTTGAATTCCAGGAGCCAAAGAGGTAATTCTACAGTTGATCTTTCTCTTATGTGTTGTAGCATGTTTTAAATCATTTCCTTTGTTTTTATTCAGCCCTCTTGTTGTACAATTTCTGATTTAAATGGTTCTACAGTCTAGTCATAGAGCTTTGTGTATAATGTGTTAAATTTTCAATTTGCTATTGCAGGTTGCAATGGACGGCTCATCCTTTAGCAAGTATGCTTGGGTTCACTGGAGTCGTCTGGGTTGGACTGTGATTCCAAAACAGCTTTTCTTTTCTGATGGATTTCCTGTTTGCCAGGGATTCAACCGATTGGTTTGCACTTGCTTTAATGGTGCATCTACTATCTCTCAAGCTGTGGCTTGGCTTGTCTTTCGCCAGAAGGCCTTGGGGTTTATGTAATACATTTTCTTTGAGTGGTTGCCAATTCATTTAAGAAACCAGGAATTAGAATTTAGGTTTTTTTTTTTTTTTTTTTTTTTTTTTGAAGGCCTGACAGGCATACCGCCCGTGTTGTGAGTTCTACCCTAACAGGTTTTATGCATTTCGAAAATTGCAGGCTTTGCCTGAGGTGATTGGTTTCTACAAAGAAATACCAAATCATCATGGAACCTTTACTTCACTTGGTTTAATGTGTATGAGGTAAGAATGCAACCATACGTGTGGTTCATTTCCCCGCCGACTCTCATGGGACTGTTAGCTCGAGTTCTCGAGAAACCCACGTGGGTTACCACACCTGGTAGTGGTTTTGGACCCGTGGTGAGGTTTCATCAGGGTCATGCCTTCGGCCACAGAGGAATGCTTAGAAGCCTGCAAAAGGTTCAAGCAGTTGTACAAGTGAATCAGGGTACCTGACTAGTTTTGCCTCCATATAAACCGAAGATGAATGCCAATGTTCTTGTATGATTATGAAATTATTATCTTCCTTTTTTGGCGATCTAGATTGCATTGAAACTGCCACAAATTGTTAAAGGCTTAGTAGTCTGGGATAATTTTCTAGTTAGGGTTTCGGAACTTTTGCAATTTGGTTTTAATAAACGGGGCGAGAATGTACAAGGTTTCGTCATATATGCAGGCTATATTCCAAGGACCATTTTGTGGCATTTCGAAAGTAACTAAATTGATGTGGTTTGATTTGATTGTTATGCTGGGAAAGTTGAATGGTGAGTTACAAATATTATGCACATATATAATATGAATCCTCAGAGGTAAGAGTATAATTCATTAAATAAAATAGTACACTTTGATCCTTCTGATGGGTTGAAAGTGTTACTCACTCCAATTGTATAGGATTAATTGTTATTTACAAGACCAAAGTGTCATGCTGGAATTTTAGTAGGCCTAAGAAAATACTTTCCCCTTAAGATATCTCTTAACAACGATTTCCCTCTCAGTCTAAGACTGTGGCAATTGTCTTCGATCGGGTTTTGTTATCAAACTAATACAATTCGTTAATTGAATTACGAAACCCTAATGGAGTGTTGACAATATGGGGGTAAATTTGTATTCTAGTAAGGAGCAAAATATTTAACTCTTTTTGGTGTATCATTTTTTAAAACCGGACCGGTCCAACGGGACTTGGCAGTCTCTGGTCCAGGTTCAGGTTTTTTAGAGTTTTTTGCTAAAATTATAGGGACTAACTTCGTAATTTTCTATGGGTATTTAAATATTTCAAATTTGAGGGACTAAAGGTAATTTTGGGATTTGTGAAATAATAAATTTTCCAGGACTTTGCATTTTAGGGTATTTTTATAATTACTAAATTGAAAGCTAATCCAATTTTTTAAAAGTATTTTTTTGGTGACAATTTGACCGTGATCCATCACCTTGCCCGGTCACAACGGTCCGGGTTTTAAAACAATAGGTGTAATGCAACAAAAAGAAACGTGATGACTCCCTTTTTGGTCTATGGTATCAAGATATATCAACATATTATAAATTAATGTGCTTTACACCGACAAAACATTAATTCACAGTGCAAAGATAAAGATAACAAAAAAAAAATTAATATAAAAATAATTTATGGTGTCAGTTTTGGCTAAAATTATGCTTTTAAGTGATTGAACAGAAGCTTCAGAGTAAAAAACTGCAAGGAATGGAATCTGCAAGCCTAACAAGAAGGTGCCTGCAACCAAACGCATAGCATGTGTGATTTGTGCCACATTTTTTTTAACGTATAGATTAATGACATTCTGTCTGGCGTCAATTTCTGCAAAAAAAGAGCCTGAGATAATCTTTGTTCGGCAGTGAATATTAGATGTGCTATTTCCGGTCTGTGTGTCAAAGTTTTATGGGTGAGATTTTCACGTTGTCTTGGTCTCATTGTTGTGACTTTGTTTTCAAGTAATGATCGACGTGAAGTCTAATAATTGGACAAGTGTTACTATTGTATTAGTTTCCCTGCATCTTCGGTCATTCTCACATTATTAGCACCATTTTATTCATTTTACTTGATTGTTGTCATATTTGTGTTTGATAGCTTGATCATTGAATTATTGTTTAGCTCCTGGCGAACCTAAGAAGAGCGTCAAAGACGATTATGAAGACAATGGAGACTGCCATGGGTGGTAGGTTTTCTGCTACAAAACAGAGAAGAGAGAAAAGGGCACAGTTGAATCTCAATCCCTCTTAAAGTACATTTATATCCTATTTAAAGCTAACAGACCCATTCTTTGACCTTTCCAAGAATTTTTTGGGTTCACTTTTTACTTCTATAGAATGCCTGAAAATACCAAATGACAGATTTTTGCTCAAAGTGTTAAGAGGAAGAATATAAAAACCCAGAGTACACAATCAGATTATACATGACATGAAGCCTCTTGAATGTTTATTTTCTGGGAATTTTTTTGACAGTTCTTTTTCAAAGAATCTACACATCTTCCACCCAAACTGTTGTTTCGACTATATTATTTGTTTATTATATGGAACAGTGCAAAAGTGGGAAATGAGGATAGATAGAGCAGCTGCGCACTGAGCAAGAGGAGAGGACGGAGAAATGAGAAGACAATCAAGAGCACAAGTTACTCCATACTGATACTCATTTTGATTGATTGCATCGTATTCATCCTCTCCGAATTTTGTTATTTTCTAAATCCTAATACAGTACGTTTTGTAAATTAACATTGGATTATCTCTAATGAAAAACACCATTCTTTTTTTCTGTGTTTGATGAATTGAAACTCGAGCACTCTTAACCCCTAAAAGTATCCAATTCATCATTTACCCATTATTTTAAAAATAAAACATTTTCATTAATTTTAAAAATTAAACATAATTTTATTAAATCCAATAAACTCCTTGAAATTTAATAAAGATGTTTTATTTTAAGAAAGAGACTTATGGAAGAGAGAATTATATAATAAAATGCATAGGAACTTATTTTATTATTAAAATTATGTGAGTGTGAAATTTGACTTTCTAAATGTGGAGAATCAAACCATTCTCTAATTTTATTTTAACGATAAAGATGTTATGGGACCTTGTTTATGGATAAACTCTAAATAAAGAGTTTAGTCTATAAAGAGTCTTGGGATGCTCAACAACGATTTTTACGTTAACTATGACGACTTACTAATTTCCTAATTGGTTGATTTTTCACTCAATTGAAAAAAAACCATGTCAAGTGTTGAATCACTATAAAAACTTCAAATTCAAGACATACATACAAATACACTTCTATTAACTCAAACACAATAACACTCACCTACTAACAACTCGAAACCCTAACTTCAACAATAACAAGACACAACAAAAATCACCCGAATCTTAACTTTCTTACAAAACCCTAAACCCTAACATTTCACAAACCATACACCTTTTCACACAAATTTGTATAAAGAAGTAATGAATAAAAAAAAAAAAAAAAAACTAACATTTGACCCACCACAATTTCAGTTCACTCCCAATGACGGAATAGGTTTCATTGATCACCTTTCTTCTCCACACCACAATGAGTGCTGAAAATCTCATAGTAACAATTAAATGGTTAAATCTCCACTTGTTTTGTGGATTAATTACAAAACGGATGAGTTTTTAAAAATCGAAGGTTGGCTCCAAAGCCCTTTTTGTTTTTGAATGGTGGTAAATGGAGAAAATTGGGTTTATATGAGGGTATTTTGGTAAAATGCATTTGGTGGTTATGGGTAATAGACTTTAGATTTTAGTCCTTTTTATAAGCCCCCCTGTCATTTAAAAAAAAAAAAAAACCTTTTTTTGAATAACTATAATTACCTAATAGTTTGTTTTTTCTAACTAAAAGTTAATTTAATAAAATGATAAGCCTATTTATATAAATTTAAACAAAAATTAAAAGAAAAAACTTCCTCCAAGTTGTAGATCATTGCGTACATCCATATGTTCTACCTACAACTAGATAGAACATATGGATCTACACAATCATCAAACTCTCATTAGAAAAAGATGTTTATATTGGCCATAGAGACGGTCACACCACCCCATGGAATGATGTTTTTGCCTATATCCATCCACAAAACTAAAGTTCATGACACTTACACCCTTAGAAGTGCGAAAATGAAGACTTACTTGCACCAACTAAGTTTGGAAATATAACTTACACGTTACCCTCTATTTTTCCGATTAATGGATGAAGTAAAGGGCAAATATACCATTTCATTAAATTTATTGTTGATTAAATGATAAGTAGTAGACATTTCAAGCTTAAAAAAATAAAAAATTGAGGATGGTGAGATATTAACCTAAAGCCAAAGGCATTTAGTATAAAGTATATTACATACAAAATTTAATCATTATGAAAAAATGGGGTTATTATTTACAATTTCGCAAGAGGTAATGAAATATAAATACTCCCTTGGACACTCACAAATTTTTAAAATGTAAAATAATAACCTCTTGGATTATTATTTCTCCTCTTAAAACTATCAAAACTTTCCTATCAAGGGTACTTAATACGTTATACATAATCTGGGTGGTCAAGAATATTACTATCTCCTAGGGTGGTATACATAATCGTAAAAAAATATATTAAATTTAGGATAGTAATATAAAGACCCCACATGTTTGGCCATTTAGAGAGTCACTTGCCACCACCCCATTCTCCATTCCATTATTCATCAGTTAACTTAATGGGTGGACAAGTATTTTGATATTATTACACTTTAAGAATGGTATTTGTGCTTTTTAAAAAATGTCCTTTATTATTTATTTTTTTCTCTTTTTTGACCCGTCGCCTTTCCTCCACCCCTTTCTCTTTCTCCTTCCTCTTCCTCTTTATATAGGAATAACCTTCATGTAATCATAAAAAATTCTGGTCCCAACTTGGGCAGTTATAAATAAGAATAAATTTCTCATTGTAATAAGCTATAATTTTTCTAGGTCTCATCCTAAGGAACTTGCCACTAGATAATAATAATTATATGTATATTGCAAAAAATATATGTTATGTTACATTAAAGGTTTAAGATGAAATAAAACATTTATCTAAAGTTGTTTGGGACAATGATTTAGGGTTTAGAGTTGTAACCACATCTTTTATCTTGCGTGTATGTAAGAAGTCGCTAGCATAGGCACCTTCTTGTTAAAGCCAAAATATTTTTAGTTTCTTAAGCATGTTTAGAGTTTCTTAGCATGAAACTTTTGGTATTTCTGTACTATCATCTATTTCAATACTATCATCCTCAGGATTATCTCCTTATTCTTCTTGTTTAATTTCAGTAATGAATTCTTCTTCAGTTAAAGTATACACGACTTGCTGCTTATTTGGATGATTGATGAAGACATTAATATCTATTTGATTATAGTGAAACTGTTGAAGCTGATCACTCAATTTTGCAATAATTCTTTATTATCCATTTTCGTTTCTATTCTAATGCTACTAAAACAGTGAATTGAAATCCTAATACTATTAAAACACGAATTATAAAATAAGAAATCAAAACAATAATTTTTGGATCAAAACAATAATTCTTGTAACTACACCTTTATTAAGTTATAACCTCTTTATAGTAATAAATTTAGTTGGTCTCAACATTATGACTATAGAGAGGTTCTACTGTATTTGAAATTATTGGGGGTCGGAGTTTGATATTAATGGCAAACAGTTACAGTAGTTTGTGATGTTTTCCCAAGGAGTGTGTTTAATATGATAATAAATCTCTGGGGTTCTTAGTGATAGTTCCCCCATATATATATGGTATCTTGCTCTTACAAACCTTTGGAGCCTTATTGCTAATACTTGGTATTGAATATTCAATCCACTGTTGCCACTTACCTGTATATATGCTTATATCATATTGTCATGTGTGTTCATAATATTTTGGGAATTCTTGCTGAATGCATATCTACTGAAGATTTTCGTTTCGCTGTTGCCTGAATGCAATCTTCTACTGGGTTTAACGTTAGTTTGGCCAATTGTTAGTACAGATGCAAATTGAACTGTATTAGTAAAACTGAATGGCCCAAGTCTTCTAGTGATAATTTGTTGTGCTTTTATTTCTTTTAAATGAAGAAATTTTAAAGAATGTATAAATAACGGAAATTGTCATATTCTGCAGCCATTGAGAGCTGCAATTGCTTCAGCATTTTATAAGGACCTTGGCATAGATGAAGGTGATATATTTGTTTCAGATGGTGCAAAATGCGACATATCTCGGCTTCAGGTTTGTATAGATTTTGAATATGCTAAAGTTTTTATGGGCTGATTTATTATTATGTCTCCAAAATTATCCAGTTTCTCTTAAATTTGTTGTAGGTTGTTTTTGGTTCTGATGTTACTATGGCGGTTCAAGATCCATCATACCCGGTAATTCATTTTCTTTTTATTTAATTGCAAGATAATTTTACTTAATGAGTGTGTAATTTTCTCCTTTTGATAAAATGTATTTTGATGTAATCGAAGGGTTATATTGAGTTTGTCTTACATGATAGTTTATTTCTGCAATTGAAGTTTTGACTGCATAGTGTTTCTGTGAATATCAGAATATCAATGGGAATTAAATGAAATTGATCTGATACATCTATTCCATTTGACTGCCTTGTATAATATTTTTCCAGATCCCTTTTGATTGAGATGGTTCACTTCTTTAGTTGATCTAGAAAAGTTGTCAGTACTGGTTTGTTATTCAACGCATTCTCATGAAAAAAAGTCCAAGATCTAATGGCCTTACTTTATTGCACTTCATTTGGGTTTTAATATATACCAGGTTTGTCTTTTAGATGGTATGAAATCTTTTGATAAATGTGATTCTTCTTATGATGGTTTTATGTATAAAGAACGCTAAGTCCGAACATTACTTCATAACTACTATCTCTTATGAAAAACGAAAAACAAAAACCTTTTAACGCATCAGGTATTTACCAGAATAAAACAAAAGTTGGCTGAACTTTCCGTTGGGCTGTTCTGGTAGATTGTGTAATCACCTACTTGCATTATACTGGATAAGATATGCTGTAAGAATAAAGTGATGTTTGGGGGTGTGCATGGTGATTCTGATTGGATTGAGTGAAAATAGGAAGCAAGAAACAAAGAAGAGAGAATAAAATACTAACCCACACAAGTCAATGGCATATCTTTGTTTGTTAATGAGATAGTCTATTAATGTTAGAGCTTTCTTTTTCAATATGCAGGCTTATGTAGACTCAAGTGTCATTATGGGCCAGACTGGAGATTTTCAAAAGAATTTGGAGAAGTATGGAAAAATTGAATACATGAGATGTTCTCCAGAGAATGGCTTCTTCCCTGATTTATCAACTGTTGGTCGAACAGATATCATATTCTTTTGTTCACCAAATAATCCTACTGGGGCTGCTGCAACGAGGGAACAACTGACCCAATTGGTTAAGTTTGCTAAGGACAATGGGTCAATCATTGTTTATGACTCTGCATATGCCATTTATATATCAGATGATAACCCTCGTTCAATCTTTGAAATTCCAGGAGCCAAAGAGGTAATTCTACAGTTGATCTTTCTCTTTATGGTTGTAGCATGTTTTATCAATTTCCTTTGTTTTATTCAGCCTCTTGTTGTACAATTTTCTGATTTAAATGAGTTCTAAAGTCTATCATAGAGCTTTTGTGTAATGTGTAAATTTCAATTTGCTATTGCAGGTTGCAATTGAGACCTCATCCTTTAGCAAGTATGCTGGGTTCACTGGAGTCCGTCTGGGTTGGACTGTGATTCCAAAACAGCTTTTATTTTCTGATGGATTTCCTGTTGCCAGGGACTTCAACCGAATTGTTTGCACTTGCTTTAATGGTGCATCTACTATCTCTCAAGCTGGTGGCTTGGCTTGTCTTTCGCCAGAAGGCCTTGGGGTTAGTGTGATACAGTTTCTTTGAGTGGTTGCCAATTCATTTAAGAAACCAGGAGATTAGAATTATAGGTTTTTTTTTTTGAAGGCCTGACAGGCATACAGCCCGTGTTGTGAGTTCTAGCCCTAACAGGTTTATGCATTTCGAAAACTTGCAGGCTATGCATGAGGTGATTGGTTTCTACAAAGAAAATACCGAAATCATCATGGATACCTTTACTTCACTTGGTTTTAATGTGTATGGAGGTAAGAATGCACCATACGTGTGGGTTCATTTCCCCGGCCGAAGCTCATGGGACGTGTTTAGCGAGATTCTCGAGAAAACCCACGTGGTTACCACACCTGGTAGTGGTTTTGGACCCGGTGGTGAAGGTTTCATCAGGGTCAGTGCCTTCGGCCACAGAGGGAATGTCTTAGAAGCCTGCAAAAGGTTCAAGCAGTTGTACAAGTGAATCAAGGTACCTGACTAGTTTTGCCTCCAATATAAACCGAAGATGAATGCCAAATGTTCTTGTATGATTAATGAAATTATTATCTTCCTTTTTGGCGATCTAGATTGCATTGAAACTGCCACAAAATTGTTAAAGAGCATTAGTAGTCTGGGATAATTTTCTAGTTAGGGTATTCGGAACTTTTGCAATTTGGTTTTAAATAAACGGGGCGAGAATGTACAAGGTTTCGTCATATATGCAGGCTATATTTCCAAGGACCATATTGTGGCATTTCGAAAGTAACTTAAATTGATGTGTTTGATTTGATTGTTAATGCTGTGGAAAGTTGAATGGTGAGTTACAAATAATTATGCACATTAAGATAATATGAATTCCATCAGAGTAAGAGTATAATTCATTAAATAAAATAGTAACACTTTGATCCTTACTGAGGGGTTGAAAGTGTTACTCCCAAATTGTATAGGAATTAAATTGTTTATTTACAAAGACCAAAGTGTCATGCTGGAATTTTAGTAGGCCTAAGAAAATACTTTCCCCTTAAGATATCTCTTAACAACGATTTCCCCTCTCAGTCTAAGACTGTGGCAATTGTCTTCGATCGGGTTTTGTTATCAAACTAATACAATTCGTTAAATTGAATTACGAAACCCTAATGGAGTGTTGACAATATGGGGTAAATTGTTATTCTAGATAAGGGAGCAAAAGTATTTAACTCTTTTTGGTGTAATCATTGTTTTAAAATCCGGACCGGTCCAACTGGGACTTGGCAGTCTCTCTGGTCCAGTTCAGGTTTTTAGAGGTTTTTGCTAAAATTATAGGGACTAACTTGTAATTTTCTATGGGTATTTTTAAAATATTTCAAAATTTGAGGGACTAAGGTAATTTTGGGAATTTTGAAATAAAGTAAATTTTCAGGGACTTTGCTATTTTAGGGGTATTTTTATAATATACTAAAATTGAAAGACTAATTACAATTTTTTAAAAGTATTTTTGTGGACAGATTGACCGGTGATCCGATCACCTTGCCGGGTCTCACAACGGGTCGGGTTTTAAAACAATAGGTGTAATGCTAACAAAAAAGAAACAGTGATGACTCCCTTTTTTGGTCTATGGTATTAAGATATATCAACAATATTATAAATTAATGTGCTTACACCGCAAAATATTACACAGTGCAAAGATAAATGAGAGGAAAAAAAAAAAATTAATATAAAAATAATTTATGTGGCAGCTTTGGCTAAAACTTATGCCTATTTAAAGTGATTGAAAAGAAGCTTCAGAGTAAAACTGCAAGGAAATGGGAATCTGCAAGCCTAACAATGAAGTGCCTATTCCAACCAAACGCATGAGCAGGTGTGTTGATGCCACCATTTTTTTTAACGTAAGATTCTGACTTCTGTCTGGCGTCAATTTCTGCAGAAAAAAGAGCCTGAGGATAATCTTTGTTACGGCAGTGAAGTTGAGAGGGCTTTATTTCCTGTGTGTGTCAAAGTTTATATAGGTGAGATTTCAGTCGTCTTGGTTTTAATTAATTTCTTCACTGTTGTGACTTTTTAATCACTGTCAAGTATGATCAGCTGAAAGTCTATAATTGGACAAGTGTTACTATTGTATTAGTTCCCTGCATCTTCGGTCATTCTCACATTATTATCACACCATTATTAATTCATTTACTTGATTGTTATCATATTTGTTTTGATAGCTTGATCATTTGAATTAATGGTTTAGCTCCTGGCGGAACCATAAGAAGAGCGTAAGAGATGATTATGAAGAGAATGGAGACTGCATGGTGGCTAGTTTTGCTGACATCCAGGGAGAAGAGAGAAAAAGGTACAGTTGAATCTCTCTCTTTATTTTTATCTTATTGGAAGATTAACTAGTTTGACCATTTCCAAAGAATTTTTTGGGTCACTTTTACTTCTATAAGAATGCCTGAAAATTACCAAATGACAGATTTTGCTCAAAGTGTTAAAGAGGAAGAATATAAAAACACAGAAGTACAATCAGATTAATACATGACATGAAGCCTCTTTGAATGTGTTATTTTCTGGGAATTTTTTTGACAGTCTTTTTCAAAAGAATCTACAATCTTAACCTGAGTAACCCAAACTGGTGTTTCGACTATATTTATTTGTTTATTATATGGAACAGTGCAAAGATTGGGAGGAATGAGGATAGAATAGAGCAGCTGCGCAATGAGCAAGAGGAGAGGAAGGAGAAATTGAGAAGACAATCAAAGAAGCACAAGTTACTCCATAACTGAGACTCATTTTTGATTGATTGCATCGTATTCATCCATCTCCGAATTTTGTTATTTCTAAATCCTAATACAGTACGATTCATGTAAATAACATTGAGATTATCTCTAATGAAGAAACACCATTCT